GAGCAGCTCCTTAAAGTGCAATACGGAGAACTGTATTTCTTTTTGATACAGCAAAGATTAAATGTGAAAAATACCATTTTACAGACTCTGCCTGTGTTCTCTTTAGGAAATCTTAGTGAGAAATGAATAAGGCTGACACACGTGCTTGTGTGTTTCACCTGTAAGTAAATAGTAGTGCACATAGTTATGGTCTTATTGGCCCTGCAAGAAGCTCTGTTGTAGTCCTACAAATTGTGAAATTAACCTTAGAACTTGTATGCTTTGTAAAAAGGAGTTCTTTCACTAAAACTGGGTTTGAACACTAACATTTCATTTAATTACAAATGGTTTTTCTAGCATCTGTCCCCCTGAAGTCCTTTGTGAAAACCTTCCTCTTCCTGGCAGTTCTGGAAAGATGTCATCACCAGTATTAAGAGGAGATTTAAGTAAATTGAATTTCCATCAGGACACAGTGATTAGTTCAGAGAGTTGTCTGCTTCAGAGTTAGAATTCTTATTTAAGAACCTCTGTCATATGAGTTGGCTCATTCTTTGAATTTGCTTATTTCTTTACTCTGGTCCTAGTCCAGATAACATTAACAGTTATCCCAAATTGTCCCATAATGGGATATTGTTGAAATGTGAACTAAAATGGAATTTATGCCTCTCTGTTTTTGCAGGTAGTCACTTTTACTTATTTTAAAGTCTGTTAGTTGTTCAGATGTTTTTCCCATAAATTCATTTTCACTGCTATGATTCTGACTTTAACAATCAGAGTGTTTGGTATGAATCTAGTTAAAGCACAACATTTAATTGTAAACTTACTGAACCCCAAGAATATACAAAACAGTGACTAAGCTGAGAACACTGATGACCTGTGGAGTTTTATGATGGCTATTTTTACTGGCGTTACAGTGACCTAAGTTTCTTAGAATCTGTGAATGTCTATTGCTTTGTGATAAAGAGGCACTGTAGAGAGCTATAGGAAAATATGTACATGTATCATTTAACTGCCATTGTTGTATTCATGTAGATTCTGTCTTGTTGGCAGGTATTTCCTGTTCTAGGGTGAGTCTGCTTTTGAAATTGTGATGTTTGTTGCCTTCAAGCAATTCTTTGTACATGCTAGAAGGTAGCCTGAAGCTTACAATGTAACAAATAACAAATGATGTTTGTAGATACTATACCTTAAGAATCAGAGCAGTTGGATTATAGTTATTAAATAATATGTTATATAAAATAGTAATATGAAGAAAATACTGACAGGTCATGGAATTGGTAATTTTTAAAAATTATATACTTCATTGAAATGGCAATCCATTTTATAATCTGAATCACAAAAATTTTGGCCATTTTTAAGTAAATACCTGTGATGTGAGAATATATAAATAACTTATAAAATAATAAAATGTACAGATACATGTTTATATATAAAACACACGTATTGGTTACCTGAAGTGTAATGTTATCAGAAAAATAGTTTTTTCTGAAGTAGTGGTAAATTGGTTCATCAAAGTTCACAGTTTACTTTCACAACATAGGTGTGCAGACAGTTTGTTTGGATGTTTAATTTTTCCCCCATCTGTTCTGTCAAGATTATTGATTGAGCAGTAATCCACTCCAGGGCATGCATAGCCCCTTATAATTGCTAGCCTTTGGTGCATTGTGTGGCCTGGCTAACAAACTGAGTAAGGTATCCATCCCTTCAATGTCCCAGTAAAGCCTGCTTGGTAAAATACTAGAATGAAAATGTTTTTGAAAAGGCCTGTTATGTTTAACACTGGAATCATTAATTGATGGTATAATTTTAAAATTCAGTTATTCAATGAATTATTCCATTGTTTAATTTTATTCTTTGAAATTAGTAACTGTTTAAGAGCTTATTTGTAGTGTTTGAAATTTTTGTTTTGTTTTCTCATCAGTTTTTTTTTTTGTTAGGTACAAGTATTCTCATCAAATATTACTAGAGTGTTTGATGTTAATCGATGTCTTCTGTGATCCACTTGCATATTAGGTTTTATTTTTCCTGCAAATGCAACAATTTCTGGTTTCTGGTGTGGAAATTGAAACTCAACCTGTTTCCTGGAGTTTGTGCTATTTGGGCTTTGAATTGATGTGGCGTCTTGTTACTTTATAATGTCTGCTTTTCTTTTAGTAAATTTTCTCTTGTCCTTTACCTTTGTGGGAATTTTTTTTAAGTAAACAGGCTACATCTAAGGCTCCAAAGGACGTCAGGCATAGAAGGAGGTAGTACTTTGTGTATCCATGTTTATACTTGGACTTTCATATAAAAGATAGTAACATTGATTTTATGATAAGGAGATACAGATTACTTCATCAATATGTCTTTTACTGACTTATTTTTACATGAACGTTTTGATCTGCAGTTCTATCTAAATAATAAATTTTCAATGGAGTTGAGTATACTTTACCTTAGATCACCGTCCTTCACACCATTAGATCAGCTTCACAATAACCATGAAATACAGTAGCCTTTTTGCTAGGAAAATTTCATCCTCAGAAGTAATGAGAAGGAATTTTAACAATTAGGTTAAAAAGTGTGAATTTTAAATGTTATGAGAACTCTAGAAAAATAAGTACTTTAAGGAAGAAAAATTATCTTTCAAAATTAATATAAAAGAAATGCTGGATTTTAGGTAATTAAATTGATTTAGGAATTTTCAGAGTATTTCACAGAACTGTGTCTTAAAATCTTTAGATTAAAAAAAAAAGATGTAATCCGAATAGTGGGATGTGTTTCACATTATATATTCACTTTATATATTCCATGTTATATGTCCATGTGTAGAATGCTAGGGTCACTTTTTAAAAAAATGTATTGCATGTTTCACCTCACAGCTGTTTATAAGAACTGAATAAAATCTTTTTAATTGATAGCAAAGCCTCTTAAGAGTGTGGCTGAGTTAGGGTTACCTATCAGTAACTAAGTACATTACAGCATATTGTCGAATACAAAGAGACACAGCAGACAGTTCCAAGCATATCATCATGTATCTGCATGTCAATTAAAGGACATGTGTTCAGAAAGCAAAACCACGTATTTTGAGAGGCAGTGTTCAGTTTAAAAAGCTAAATAAAATGTATTTTAGTTTATCAGATAGATTTTCTTACAGTGCAATTTTCATTTTTAGTTGCTATTCCTCTTCAAAATGAAAACCTCCTTTTTATGTACTCTTTCCCTTCTGGCTGCAGACCAGGTATTTAAACAAAAATAAAGGATTGCCAGTTTTGCCAGCTGGGGATGAGAACCCGGCTGGTGAAATGTGGGTTCGGAAGGCAGTTAATCCAGCTTTTATGCTTTTTATGGTTTTATGAAAAAAGAGGTTAAAAACCGCTTTTGGCTCCTTGTTGTGTATGCCACCGTTTTGCTGGTATTGTAGGAATGCAGTTAAAAATTACTTAGATTGTAGAGGTTTTTGTTGTTGTTTTGTTATTGGGTAAAATCCTGTATCAGTTTTTATAAAGGCCCAGGAAACAATGCACTGTACTTACTGGCTGTGACGTGGACCGTTTGAAAAGGTGCAGCAGCTTTTCCTCTACGCTCCCGAGGTCTTCACTTGTCTTCCTCTTGTTCTCATAGCACTCATTCAAAGACAGAAGTGTAAGCAGTATTTCTTGTCTATGGATAAAACTAGAATTTCTCATTCTTTCAGAAAGTATCTTCTTTAATTACAGTAATTAGGCTTGTGTTCTTAAGTTACATACAATAAATTTCCTTGGCCTCTTGAGCAATGAAACAATGATATGATTGAATTAAAAATATTTTCATAGTATTCCACTGCATAGCTAACTAAGTACTGTTTTTGAAATCGTGTCCTTCATCTTTAAGTACTGTGCCTTCCAGTGGCTTTGTAGTAGTCAAAGGTAACTTTAGTGTAACTGATAGAAATAATCTAAAATTCAACAGTGTTTGTCTAATCCAAACTTCTTAACTAATGGATCTTTGTAATTAATGAAATTCATATTCTAGATCTGGTTTCCTCAGAGCTTGAGAGAGTCAAAGTAAGCTTTAAGATTCTTCAAATATAGTTATCTAAATAAAGTACTGGAGGTTGTCTATAGATAAGGACTGTTCCACTGAGCGAAAAACAGATCTGGGACTGACAGTGTGGCTTAGTGGTAGAGCACGGGCTCCATCTCCAGCTTTGTGGGCGGGAGGTCTGATTAAAAAGGTAAACCGGTGGTGATGATAAGTGGTTGTGCTTATATTTGAAGAGATTGTTCTAACAACCAAAGTGGTACTTCTATATCATTTTTCACAATTGTTTTTGCAATATATATTTAAGAGAAACAAGGACGTATACCACACAGGCTTTAAGTCAATGATTTTTGTATTTTAAAAAATTGTTGCATTAGTGAAGCTTTGTATAGAATATTATTACAATTCAAAACAATAAACCTTTGCTTTCATTTCATTAATTATCTTCTGAAAGATTTTTTTTAACACATAAGGACTCCCCAAAATTTTTATATTTATTATTTCACCGCCATGCCCTGTGCTGATCATTTTTGTAATTGTTTTTGCATCTTTTACTGTTTAGTTTGTATTACTGCTTCTTTCCTTTCTTAAAACTTTTTCTTAAGGTAAAAATGCATAAGACAAATTATTACATGCTATGTAACCATCATGGACTCACTTTAAGTTGCTATGTAACAAACAGCTACATTAGAGGGATTCAGACTGCAAAATTCAGTACGCCTAACAGAAAATCACTAACTAATGCGTTTCGTTTGACCCTGCTATATACTCATGTGCTTCCGATTGGAATTAATGCAATTTTTTTAACCACCTTTCCCCCTTTTGTCCATTGACTATTTCTGAATATGTCCCAAGTTTTCCATGTAATGTATTTGGTGTGGTTTATGCCTTTTGCAGAATGTTTCATAGTTTAAAAGGTCCAGATGAAAGTTGGGTTCATTTTTCTATAAAATGTACATTTTGGGATTAGTGCTTTAAAGATTAATATATAATAACTAATCATTCTCTGGTCTCACTTCTAGGTATTGGAAGATAATGACTATGGCCGAGCAGTGGACTGGTGGGGCCTGGGGGTTGTCATGTATGAAATGATGTGTGGGAGGTTGCCTTTCTACAACCAGGATCACGAGAAGCTCTTTGAACTAATACTAATGGAAGACATTAAATTTCCTCGAACACTCTCTTCAGATGCAAAATCATTGCTTTCAGGGCTCTTGATAAAGGATCCAAATAAACGGTAAGTCTTAACAGTCTTAATTCAAAAATTGACTCCAAGAAGCATTGTATTTGATGTATTTTCCCTTAAGATACTGCCTTATTCATAACTGTCTAATATAGAACATTTGAAAAGCTCATTAACTCTTTTCTGACGTGGAAATTTTATGCAAATTTACCAAATAAGGATTTTTGAGAGATTCTTTATGCATATTATGAGTGAACCACTTCTTAACTTCCCCAAAGCTTGATCTTGTAGGGATAGAAGAAGCCCTTTTCTTCTTTTCAGACCCTTGGCTTTTATATTTCTACTGACTCACATTATAGAAAAAATAGACCTGTTTCTATTCTCTCCTTTCCTTTCTAACCTATGTTAACATCTGTATATTTCATCATTAAAGTTTATTTTCCAAAATAGCTGAAAAAATTGATGGCAAAACTAGAAACCACTATAGCTTGTTTTTGCAGCTGTAGTTATGACCCGAACACGGCAAAGCCTTTACTGCTCAGTCACTGTGTTGTTTGTTCAGTTTACCTATTCACAGTATACTCACAAGGTATATGTTAAATTACTTCTGTTTATAAAGTGTCCCATATGACCTCCTCTTCCTAGTATCAGAACTTCTCTGAAAGTTCATTAAATCCTAGGCATCTGGAGGATTGATGACTTCATATATTTTTGAATCATCCAAAATACCTCATACTGTTTTGTAATTTGTGCTCAACATACATTTGAGAGACTTCTTTAATGAATAAAGAAATAAATGAATTCTTAAAACTTGCACTTTTTCTATTTTAGCAATGGTTTCTACTGTGTATGTAGCTTTAAAAATGTGTAAGAATATGATTTTTACCTTCAGCAGAAATAAGCATGCATGATAAAAGAGCTTACCATCCTTTTGTTTTGTGAGGACCCATTGAAAGATACGTTTTGTGACCTCAGTGACCAGGGTGTTACCTTAGATTTATAGTATCTCCCTCACGGTTGGTCCCTCCCTCCCTCCCTCCTTCCCTCTTCCCACCCTTTTTTCTGGCAGTTTCCTAACTGTGATCTATCTTGCAAGGTAGATAGTATTAAGCATTTCTATGTCCAGAGGGTTAATTGATTTATCCACAGTCTCATGGAAAGTTCATGTGGAACAGGAATAAAAAGTAAGTTTCCTGGCATGTTTGATGTTTCTTAGACATCTTGCTCACAGTGCATCAACTTCTCAGCTCAGGTTTTGTAGTGTGTTTCTTTTGATGTGGTTGCTTCACAATGGTGCAAAGAGCAGCACATGGAGAAGGATTATCTTTAAAAAGAGCTAAGTCGACCATTTTCATCTTTTTTTATTTTGAGATTTAATAAAACTTGCTTTCAAGGGCAGTAAAATTTTATCCCACCTTTCCCTAACTCTTCAGACAACTTTGGCCACCCTTTCTTTTGTGGCCCTCTCTTTAAACGGTGAAACAAAACTTTACTTGTGGTTTGCATGTCCCCTTTGTTTGTTTCTTACCAGCTTGCCTTATCTGGTAGGTAGCACACAGTAAGTGCTTAGGAATCACTGAATAAATGTGAGGTGAATTTCTAGACTGTTAGTGACCTGATCCATAGTTTCTCCCCAGAGGTTCTGAAAAGAAGATGCAGTCTTATAATGTCTGTTCTACAATGGGTCAGGCCTCTGCTCTGCTGTGTTAACATATTGGAAATGCAAATGTAACCTGGGCAGGTTTTTCTATATGCTCCCAGAATAGCAAAGGACATGAAGCCTATGTTTGCAGATCCTCAGGCCAAACTGCACAAGTGTTGTTGAAATTATTCATTCGGTCTAGGGGATTAGAGAACCAGATCTTGCTCATGAAGGCCTTGGAGTTTGCAGTGGCATTCAGGCTCTATTTGTGGTGCTTCTGGGGTCTGCATGATAAACCCATTCCTTAGGATACTGAGGCCGGAGTGAGCATTGTGGGCTGGAGGCTAAATTTAGCAACACAGGGAGAACATAGCTTAAAAACAAAAACACAAAGTTTGTGGAATTGCCTGAATAAAAGATGGGGTTCTTTCTGAAGCAGTGGTTAAATAACAACAGCAGCAACAACAACAGAACAATGAGTAAAGCTTTGAGAATGAGTAACTCTAAAGGGTGAGGAAGTGGGTGGAGTCAGGTAAGCCTAGACGTGCCCAGGTAGGGTGAGTAGTTTAGAGAGTGGACTGTGAATACAGGGAGCACAGCAAAGGAAGACACTGATTGGGGTGGATGCTGTAGTAATTTTGGCTATACCAAGTGTGAGGTACCTTGATGGGCATGTCAAGTAAGCATCCAGAAGAAATGGCAGCCAGTGCTTAAAAGAAACACAGTCGTTGACTATGGGTTTGGGACCCATGGGTATCTAGGATGTAATTGGAGGCAGGGAAATGCACAAGGGAGAGTATGAAAAAAAGAGGGGCTGGGACAGAAGCTTGGGAAACATCAGCATTGAGGGCTAGAAAGCACATAAAGCCAACATAGGCTCCCACAGTCTCTGAGCACATAGTCACAATACTATAACGTATTGTTTGCATTCAGCTACATTAAATCCTGCTTGAATTTTCCTGATACTCTTTACAGATTGCTGAGCTCTACCAAAGGGTCAATCATCATTTGGCTTTTGTACCTTATTCTCTATTCCTTTATGCCTTCTGTTCGTCTCTCCTTTATCCTCCATGAAGTTTACATGAAAATCACCACCTCATGTTGGATGCAGTATATAGGAAAATGAGAATTTTGTGACATTCCTCATAGTTAAGAATCTGTAGGAGCAAAGAGTTTAGTTTGGTGCTTTAATACTGGAATTTAATATTATTAGGTATAAATAACTCAGTTTTGACATCATTTTGAAGTCTTTACGTTGTATATTAGACAGCCATTAACATTGAATTTTTAAAATATTAGCATTGCTTTCTTTAAGAGGCTAGAGAGATGGCTCAGTGGTTAAGAGCACTGACTGTTCTTGCAGAAGACCCGGGTTCGAATCCCAGCACCCACATGGCAGATAACAACTGTCCGTAACTCCAGTTCCAAGGGATCCAACAGCCTCTTCTGTCCTCCACGGGTGTTGCATGACACGGGTACACTTACCTACATTCAGGCAGTACACGCATACACATAAAATAAAAATAAAATATTTTTAAAAAAGAAGTCATGTGATTACATTGAAAGACTTTGTATGGTTTGGAGAATTTGGAAAGGAACACTGGCAAATTTTATGTTGTTGTTGAAGCTTGATAGTAGTTTTGACAGTAAACAATATTCAAAAATTATAATAGAATTTTGAACCTACATTCTAAGTTATAATTATATAATTTTAGATTGAGGATTATATCAGTTTAGTTACAGTGGTACTTTCTATTTCTTTTTTTTTCAACTTCCCAGATTGTGACTTTTGTCTCTAGAAGTTCATTTAGGGCATAGTTCAGTGAACACTGGGGCACATTGAGATTTTCCATAGCTTCACACTTTGAAGAAGTTGTGCTAATGAATTTCAGCTTCTAAAATGGCTATGATTAGACTAATGTGTAGTGTTCATGGACAATATTTTATGTATTTTGACAAATAGGCCAGCTATGTCCTAAACCAAACTATTGCTAAAGAACTGGGGTTTTATGCAAAAAACTAATGGCTGACTCTGAATTGAAATCTTATAATTGTAGAATGACTGATTCTCCACTCCATTCCCACCTCAAGTCCACAGCAGACGTGAGCAGGACTATAAACTATAAACAAATTGTAACTTAATGTTAGAAACCTAAATGTAAGAACATACGTAGAGTTGTGATTTTTTTATACCGACTACTTTGATTTCTACTTTGAATTATTAAATTCTTTTTAAAAACAAAATGTTTTGCTGTTTCTGTTCTTCTTGTTCCTTATGTGAAGTTTCAAATGCCTTTTGGTTAATCTAGCAGTGATCTCCGTCCTCCCAGGGTTGACAGCCTACCAGGAGAGAGACAGAACAGCCAGAAATAGAGTGAGAAACAGCAAGTGTGGGGACCAGAGTGCTAAGCACTAACTAAATATAGAATTACCAGACTGAAGCTTCCAGATACGAACTCTGCTATCATGATCTCACACAATCAGATGTCCATCTCTGGGGTGTGGTTGGTTGAAAGAACTCTATATAGATCTGGAGTAGACTCTCTTCAATCACTGAAGCTGTGTGTGTAGGCTGACTGTCCCACTTTTCATCCTGATAGTGTGTCAGAGGTGCCTAGGCCCTTCTTAGTCATTTGGCCCCTTATACCTAATGGCCACAATTCAGGAGAGTGCACACTTACTTGTTTTCTATGATTGCTTGGTTTCCTTCCTACCTAGTCATGTATTAGATTTAGTATGTGCTAAATCACCAGAACTAGTTGTTAAATATCCAGAAACTTTGTGATCTTATGTTTAACTCACTAGTCATTATTAAAAATTAAATTTTACAAATTAAATTAAGAATAGTTAAAGCAGCATTAACTCACAATTTATCACTCCCTAGAAATTTTGTTCCATATTACTGTTAACTGTGTGGAAATATATAATGATTTTCTTTTATAGTATCTTGAAGTTGGCCTTGGGATTAGTACTTCTATCACCAAAATAAGCCAATACTCCAAGTGTTTGATTTATTGTTTTGATTGTTTAGACTCAAGAACGTGATAGAGGAAAGGTTAGTAGAACAAATTAAGTTGAAAGTGTTTTGTTTCTGTTGCAGTTCAATGGCAGAAACTGTAGAGAAGTCACACACTTCACTGAAAGACAAGTGGGGTTTGAGTTATGTTCCTCTTATGTCACTTTTTTCTGTAATGTAAACAAAAATGCCAATCAGTTTTCATGTCAGAGCTAATCAGAAATTATTTGCATTTGTAGTTGGCTTTAGAATTGAGCAAAAATTAAGATTTCCGTGAGAATTATGTGGTTGATTTATGATAGAAACATTGTATTTTTTATGTACATATTGTTTCATATCCTTTATATTAGTAAAACTTATAATGAGCTTTGTATATATATACATCTATACATGGTTTTCCCCCACATAGCTTTTTTTTCTTTTTTGAGACATTTTCTTTTCTGTAGCCCCAGCTGGCCTGAAATTTGCTATGTAGACCAGGCTGACCTCCATCTCACAGAAATCCACCTGTCTCTGCCTCCCAAGTGCTGGGATTAAAGGTGTTGTCACCATGCAGGGCACATAACTGATTTTAAGTACCAGCCCATGTAATTTCTGAACAGGAACAAGTTGAATAAAGCTTCCTATATTAGAGTCGGATTCAGAGAGATGTCCTTTAGCTTCTTTTCCTCTGTATTGCTTTTCTCTCGTTTTTTCATACTACCTTTCCTTTTTTTTTTTTTTTGGCTTTTATATTTTTCTTTTTGATGAATATGTACCAAATTAAACCATGGATGCCAGAAAATATCTCGATTCTCTATTAAGTCATATATTATTTAAATAAGAATAACTTCAAAAGTTGAGGGCGTATTTACATTTTTTCATATAGTAAATTGCATAGCAAATTGCATTGCAGTAATAGTTCATCGATTAATTATATATTGTTTCTATGGAATTCTTTTGGGATGGGAAAATAGTTCATGAGTTTTTAATCCATAAAAGTGCTCTCCAAGATCACTTATTTCAGAATTTACAAATTGACGAAGGAACATTTTGAGTGTTGCTTAAAAAGGAACTTGATTTAGAATTGATGGTGGTCGTAGTTTCCATTTCTTATGCTCACCCCTACATGTATCATTAAGTCTAGAAACACTCCTCAAAGGGTGTCCCTTTCCACACTACAGTGAAACCTGAGTATCAGTCACTTTTCCTTTGCCCCATATCTCAGAAGGGCCAGAAGTAATTGACTCAGCAGGCCTGGCTCCCGAGTCTTTGCTTTTTAACTTTACCACATTGTTCGGAAGAAGTAGTTGGGAAAATCTAGGTGTTAAAGCAAGAGGCTTTCATGTTTATGCCTATATATTCCATGAATTATTTATGATACAGTAAATATACCAATGTAAAATATTTGTATACATCTGGCTTATGAAAATGTTTTTTATTCATTTAATTAAATTTCTATATTCATAGCCTTGGTGGAGGACCAGATGATGCAAAAGAAATCATGAGACACAGTTTCTTCTCTGGAGTAAACTGGCAAGATGTGTATGATAAAAAGGTAGGATGTCTCTGTGGGTATTCTACATGGCCAAAATTTAAGTGAATAAAATTTAATGGTGTAATGATATTTTCTGTTTTACTGTGCTATTTAAGTGATTATTGAACTACTTAGCATAAATTTTTACTGATAATTTTGATTCCCTCTGCCTCTTGAAAGTCTTTTCAAGATTGTCAAAATTTATTTTGTCTTCTTTTATTCATAATAACCTTTTCTTTGTCATTATGTTTTTCAATTGAAGACAAAAAAAAAGGGGCTCAAGAGAGGTAGGACCATAGGAGAAGGGTATGATTAAGGGAGAAAGGGGGGAAATGGGGGTACTTTAATTGGGGAAACCATGATGGAAGGGTTAGATAATGTGAGAGATAAAGAATGCCTAGCTAGTTTTAAAAAAACAGAGGGAACCATATTAGTCCAACAGCATACTGACAAATTATACATACCAGATCAAGAAATATATGGCTAGGCAAGGTTTATCTGAGAACAATTGGTCTTTGCCCAAGATTTATCTACATGGAACACAGTAATCAAAAGTACCAGACTGGTGGAACTAACCTTCTTGGATGTTTAACAGACATACCTTGAGG